CGATAGCATTAGCAAAAAATGTAGCAACTCAACAGAACAATGAGTAGTAGATCGAACATAACAGCTAATAATGCTAAAATAATGCTTAAGATAGATAATATAAATTAAATGGTGTTTATATATATATATATATATATATATACATACTGTATATATATATATAACACTTCATGGCAGATAGATAATATAAATTAAATGGTGTTTATATATATATATATATATATATATATATATATATATATATATATATATATATATATACATACTGTATATATATAAATTTCCGTACCCACTGTATAACACTTGTTCTATATATAGCCTATATACAGTATATAGGCATATATATACAGTATATTATATATAAGCAATATCACATGAGTAAACCTGAGATATGGCTGTATATCGGCACGGCTGTGATTTGGCCGTAGGCATTAAGTAATATTTTATTTTAATATTTTATTTTCAGTATTAGAAGAAGAAATCTTGGTGATCTGGGCTTTTGTACTGCGTTAGACTATCCGGGACTTGTCACAGCACTTAAAGGCAAAGTTTGATTTTCATTTTTGCTTTGTGTTTTAATGTTTTCATTCAAGCAGTTATTTTCACATTCATTTACACTTATATACTTTGCAGTGCTAATGTGTGAATGTTTTAATAAACATGAATGTTTAAATTATGGTTTCTTTGTGCTCTCTATTATGCCAGGATAATTAGTTAACAAAAAGCTTTTGTCATGTTAACTTGTGTTGAAGTTTATTTAACTCATAAGTTTGAATTTGAAAGTTTAAATTTGAAAGTTTACTTAATTCTCTTGATTGCTTGAATAAGTCGATTCAATATTTAATCCAAAGTTATGACAACAAAAATTATAAAAAAAAAAAAACTTGAATAAGTCGATTCAATATTTAATCCAAAGTTATGACAACAAAAATTATAAAAAAAAATCTTTAATTCTTAGAACAAAATATTAGTTGAAACAACAAAATCACTATCTTTGTAATAACCGAAATTCTTAGTTTCAATGAACTCAGAATTTTAAGGCAAGAGCTTGAACAAGGAGTTGTGTATCATGTTCCGATAGAAAGGGCCTGATCTTCCTAATGAAGTATAAGGCAAATCTGCAGAACCGCTTTAGCAATGTGGACTGTGAAATTCAGATGATCATCAATCACAACTCCAAGGTTCCTGGCTGTCCTGGAAGCTGTTATGGCATGATTTTAATAGATAATATATAAAGATTTAAACAGATAATATAAATCACCTAAATTAAATCTCTTTAAATAAAACTCTCTTCTAATTAAATGAAGTTGTCTCCTTTAATACAGCTGTTAAAATGGCTGCTGTGATGTTAGTTTTTCAGTTCTCAGGAGGGTTTCTTTCTCTTCCTGTGTGTTAAATCTCAGATGAGACATTCATTAGCAGGTCAGACCAAAGAAAAATGAAGCCTCTTTAGAGCTCAACTAGAGAATGGAAACGGATCAGTAAAAAAGTGCAGTGCGAATTCATCTCGTGTCTCATAGCGATCCGACAGACCTATCAGAATCACGGCAAACGCTAAAGCACTTTCAGTTGAATGAGAACAGAAATATTGCTATCAAGTGTAAAATGTACTTCAATTCAATGGAGTTATTAAACTCTTTATAACATGTCTCAAAAGTACTTAAGGAACTGAATTGCCTTGTGCTAATGTTCCGAAAAAAGTCCGAAAAGAAGTTCCTCAAACTGCTTCCAGGATGGTTGTAGTTTGACCTGAGGTTTATAGTTGGCTTTAAAGGTGATAAATGTGTAATTTTATAATGTTAAAACAACTACACTGGTTTAATATGCACACTGTCCTGCTCTCCTCCATCAGATCCGGCCTCTTTACACCCGTTCATTCATCTTAGTCACACATTAACATAATATTAACATAATTAACATGCGTGTGTCACTGACCAGAGGGCTGTTAAACAGTGTTCACACATCTCCTCTAGCATGTTTGACATTTTAAAGTGCTGAGCGTGTAGCTTACAGCGCAGGTACAGCTACACACGGTCAATAATTATGCAACATGCTAGCCTCAGGTACAGGAACTTTGGAGATAATTAATATATTAAAATTGCACTCACATACCCTCCACGACACCCAAAAGTGAATTAAAAGATGAAATTCAGTGCGATTTCCCTTTCAAGTACATTCATGAGGACAAAAATAGCAGCTAATGTTAGCAATAGCATGCTAACATGCTACTTGTACTGTTTCTGCAGTATGAACTATGGATACTCCATTGTATATTTTTTTCTTTGTATGCATTGAATGCACAGATGACTTACTATATTTTACAAAATGTGTAGCATACAGCAGAACATGGAGTACTGTATACCACAATGCAATGCAACTTCCTTTTAGAATGTTAGAAGTAATATGAGCCACAAATTTTATTTATTTTGTTGACAGCTTAAAGTTAAAGCATTTTGATGAACATTGGATTGGCTTACATAGGATTTCTGTTGCATGTTCACATACTAATTTCTAAGTGTAGGCCATATACAATATATACCACCCTATAAGCAATAATACGTATGCTTGTATTTTATGTCGATACTGTACTCATATTTTTGACTTAAAAAAAACATGTTTGGTCATTAAAATGAGATTTTATGTACACACGCGTCTATATACACTGAACAAAATTATAAACGCAACACTTTTGTTTTTGCCCCCATTTTTCATGAGCTGAACTCAAAGATCTAAGACTTTTTCTATGTACACAAAAGGCCTATTTCTCTCAAATATTGTTCGAGTTCAGCTCATGAAAAATGGGGGCAAAAACAAAAGTGTTGCGTTTATAATTTTGTTCAGTGTATATATATTTATTTATATATATATATATAAAAAACACCGGATGGTTGGATCTGCATTTCTAAAAAAATGATTTTAGAGTAAGTGAGACTTTGATTCTGAGTCTTCTTTGTATTGACAGGTGGTGGGTGTTTAAATTCCTGCTGCTACTGTCTGTGATATTAGAAATCTGTGAAAATAAGCAGGTGAGAATATGTTACTGACAGAACCACTGCATGCGTTTCTAATTTAGCTGAGACTTCTGAAGCAAACCCAACCTGCAAGAAATATCGTTCCTGTCAAGGGGCCATCTTTAAATCCTGTTCATATGCATATGGCGATAAAATAAAAGCTTTTACGATTTTAAAGTGCTCTATTCCTGTGTCTCTTGAAGGGAAATGAGCACCCTTCAAATAGATAATTACACCTTAATCTTCGGTTCTATAGTGAAATCGTGAAACACGCCTGTCAGAGGAAATCAGGAATGAAAACAACATTGAGAGAGCGAATCTAAGATGTCTCTGTTTGTATGCGTCAGTCAGCATGCAATAAACCCAAAACAGTTATTTTCTATTCATTAGATAAATTAGTCGGAGTGCCTCATTCTGGGAGTTTCCGGATGATTCTGCATCTCTGAAGAAAACCATCATTTTCTCTGTCTGTCTCTTTTTCCTCTTTCGATAAGTGATTACAGCATTATTTCCAGTACTATGAGGAGGTGAATTAAATTTTATGCTATAAAGGCCCTATAAAGTTTTCTTGAAAAGTTCTACAGAATGCATAATATTATTTCAGTGGCACCTGGTTTTCTGCACATTCCCTGATATGATCCTGCAGGCATCCAGTCATCTTATCAGCTCCTTGTCCTTCCTTGAGCTGATCAACCTAAACCAGTTAGGATCAGACAATGACCACTGTTAAAACCAGCAGGAGTATTAAGCTCATTTCTACATCAAGCCTCTAATAATAATAAATCTCCAAATTTTTCACAAATCTCCTCATCCTCAATCCCCGTTCATACAGTGATTTTATCGCCGGTGGTCATGAGGTTGCTGTATTGTTGGTTGCTAATAGGCACTGGATGAGTGTTAATGGGAGCTTCACAACTGGTCATAGTGAAAATCTGATCGATGCATTTGCGATAAAAATAAGATGTTCTATTTTTACAAGAAGCACCCAATGACTTCCAGGCATTTTGTTGCTGCAAATCACTGCATGTGTGAACCCTTTTATTCAGAGAAAATAAAAAAAAAATTCTTATTTGTTCTTGCTCAGCTCTTACATATAACTTTACAACTTTCAGAAGGCCCTGCATTATCATAATGACCCTGACAGAGACACAAGAAACCCATTATGATAAAATGACACTGTTTTCTTACCTGCTGGTTAATATTATTTCACATTAACTGTGCAACCGCCAACGATTCGCCTGCAGAGCAAAATAAAGAAGGCACATTTTTGGTAAAAAAAAATCTCCATAGACTGTTTAATACAACATACCATATTTTCAACAATTCAACATCAATAAAATTGTGTTAATTAAAAAAAGAAAAAGAAAACAAAATGCATATTACCTTTATTGCACAGAACAACTGAAACATTTTTCATACTAGATTTTTTCACCTTTTTAGGTTTCCGTTTTTTCTTTAGTATAAAAGAATATAATGGACCACATTAATGCACATCATCATCCTGGGCTGAAAGTCAGAGAGGGCAGAGGTCATATAAAGATTTATTCGACGTAATAGGATGAGCACAGCAGGTAGACCACAGAGGCAGAGGATCCGAGAAAGATTCAGGTGTGCATGTGGCAGATTAACTCTAAAGTGGATCAGTAAGGGTTAAACCATCTGTGCAGCTTCTTCATCTGCAGCCTCAGTCAGTTGCACAAACCACTTAGCGAGGCGAAACCCATCTACACCCGAGCAAAATCCTATGCATAAACACAGCTTATTGTTCTTCCACGGAAATCACCTGGCCTACTTTGTCCAGATTAAACGCACACTTAAAACATAGCTGGACTGTGGAGCGAATTCATTCAACTGTTGCATTTCAGCACAAAACCTGCTTCATACTCACTACCCAGTCCATTTTAACCGGTCTCTATCTAGCACTGTGCAACTGTGCTCTCTTTTCGGCATAAGCATGCCTACTTTCAATTTACTCCCACTTCTTGCATGTGGCAGATTAACTCTAAAGTGGATCAGTAAGGGTTAAACCATCTGTGCAGCTTCTCCATCTGCAGCCTCAGTCAGTTGCACAAACCACTTAGCGAGGCGAAACCCATCTACACCCGAGCAAAATCCTATGCATAAACACAGCTTATTGTTCTTCCACGGAAATCACCTGGCCTACTTTGTCCAGATTAAACGCACACTTAAAACATAGCTGGACTGTGGAGCGAATTCATTCAACTGTTGCATTTCAGCACAAAACCTGCTTCATACTCACTACCCAGTCCATTTTAACCGGTCTCTATCTAGCACTGTGCAACTGTGCTCTCTTTTCGGCATAAGCATGCCTACTTTCAATTTACTCCCACTTCTTTATTCACAAACAGTGCCTAACGTTGTGCTTTTACCGCCTGTGGAAACAGATGTGAAACAACATTATCCAGGAGTGCTCATTCTTAGTGAATTCCCCTCTTGCATCTAGATATCTGTCATTGTAACAAACCAGCACCGTTTTAGTCCTTAGATGTACTGGGTAACTTTAAAACAGTTTCTTTGGGTACCAACGCTTCTTATAATGTAAAGAAAAATTGATTTGAGACCATAAGACAGGTCAAAGACTAAGTCCATTTGACAGGCACGAGACCGTAAGACAGGTGTAAGACCCATGAGACAGATCTGAGAGCATGAGACAGGTGTGAGACCCAGCAACGGCAACAGGTGAAGGTGATCGAGTGCTGTCGAGCATATTAACACTCTCACCTTTTGATGAAATTATTGATTCTGTTAGGAACTCGCTCGCTTTCGCACATACACACTCTGAGATAGAGCTGTACATTCTTGGTGTAGCTTCTCAGGCGAATAAAACTTGGAATGGGTTTGTTATATAAAAATGTGATCCTGCAGTGACATTAAATGGGTTTAAACCTGACCAGGCACTACAGAAATGCTCACTGCAGGCTATAGCGATCAAAATAAAGCAAAACACACAACAAAAGTTACATAATTACTGCTGCTTTCATTTTCCTAGCCATTAATCCAACATTAAACAACCTGTACTTGTTTATCCAGATGCTCGAGTCATAAAATTCCCTAGGCTTATCCAACAAATGCATTAAAATACGGATCCGAAAGCAAAACGAGAACCAAACAGCAGAGTACAGATACAAAGAAAGAAATGTGCAGTGAAAGTTGCGCTATACACATATTTCTCTATGGCAGGAATGGAAATGCAATCTATTATATTCCACATTCTGTTGCAATGTAGAAGATGAATTTGGGCAAATTCAGCTGTTAGGTTTGTTAAATGTGCTTTTCGCCCCTGATTTATTTACTGTTACTCTGTCATAAAACTATTCATTTAAGAAGCAAACAAGAAAAGAATGGGTTAAACAAACAAACTAACAAAACGGATGTGGGCAGAAGGATGCTCTGCCTTTGCATTCTGGAGATCGACACAAAATATTTTGGAGGTTCAGTTTTTCCTTTTTTTCCATGTTTTTTGCCCATAAAAATCCACAGGAACTGAAGTGTTTTAAAACAAAATCCTCTCTCAAAGATATTGGTCCCTGTAGGCTGAGTTTAAGCGGCCATCACAGAGGAGTGCGCATGAGGACATTTTCCCCCTCTCATGTTCAATATTGAAGAAAAGCACCGACCCCTGTACCGCACATCCAACTTTAGAAAGGGGGAAAAACACCCCTCCTCTATGGGGAGCTCGTCAGAGCCAGAGGTTGTACAGGCAGGGAATCTCTTGTTTTTGTCTCTGAGTCTGTTTTTGAAAGGGTCTTTTGAGCTCCCTGGCTGGATTATATCATTTTCATGTTAAATTTCCGTGGGGCATCGTTGCCGCTGCTGCTCGCCCCAGCGTCCGATTTGCGTGGGACGTACTCTATCTCAATGTTGTGTTTACTGTTGCCTTTGCCTCTGCTCCAAAGAAAGAGCAGAACAAGGCAGAACAGAACCACACCCAAAAAGGAGATGAAGCCCATGGTGGTGGCGATGATTAGCGTCTTTATATCAAAAGGGAACGGGACTGTTGCTCTTGTTCCATTGGCTCCGTTGTCGTTGGGTTGGTTGGAGATAAACGCCAAGGTTTTGTTGGGTTGGTTAGGCCAGTCTGGCGAGTAACTGTGGACATGTAGGTGGGCCAAAGCGGTGTCGTTTCCACCTGCGTTGCTAGCAATGCACACATATGTCCCATTGTCCTGAATCTGAGCGTAGCGCACCTCCAAGGTGCCATCCGGGAAAACAGTGAGCCGTCCTATTGTTTTCGTGGTGATAAACTGTTTTTGTGGAGAAAGCCACATGATGACAGGTGTCGGGTCTCCATCTGCTTGGCAGACGAAGTGGACGGTGGTGCCTTCATCAAGGAACTTCTGCTGTGGTTTCCGGTCTCGGATCCTAGACTTCCGACACGTGAAGTAATTGGGCTGCAGCACGTCAGGGAAGTCCTTGAACTCTTTCCCCTGAACAAACTCAGGTGAGGAGCAAGTCGGCTGCTGGCGGTTGAAGTTGAGCCTCCAGCGGCGTCGGAAAACCCAAAGCAGACGGCAGTCACAAGCCAGTGGGTTGTCGTACAACGCGAGGGTCTCCAGGTTCCCCACTGAATGGAACACAGACTCCTCCAGGGTGGTAAGGGAGTTGCTGGACACATTGAGGACTTTCAGGTAGTTCAGTCCTCTAAAGGAATAGGGTTCAATCATCGTCAGTCGACCGCCTACCAGGTGGAACTCCTGCAGTCTGAGCAGGTCGTGGAGCCGGTTGCCCTCGATCATCTGGATGGGATTGTAGGACATGTTGAGGAAACGAAGATAAACCAGGTGCCGCAAGGCCAAATATGGAATCGATGTCAAGTTTGCATTAGTGATTGTTAGGGAGGTAAGATTCAATCCATACAAGCAGTTAGTGGTCATGGTATCCAGGTAGGGCCAGTTGGTGATCTCCAGCACTTTGAGACGGTAGAGCCGCTTGAAGCTGTAGTCTCTGATGCTGTTGATGTTGAGGTTTCGTAAGCGTAGCGTGACCAAACTGTGCAGGTGCGTGAAGGCCTCTGTCGGGACAGAGGTCAGGTTGCACTTTTCTAGCGTGAGCTGCTCCAGGCTGCTGAGGCCGTGAAAAGACCTGTGGGATATGAAGACAAGGTCATTATCCCCAACCTCCAGAGAGCGCAGGTTGTAGAGGTCCTGGAACATGTAGTCCAGCAGAATTACGATCTTATTTTCACTGATGTCCAGCTTTGTTAGGTTACTGAGGCCCGTGAACACTCCCAGCTGGATGAGCTTTAGCTTGTTGCTGCGCAGTCCCAGAGTCTGCAGGCTGTAGAGTTTGTTAAAAGCCCCGGGCTCGATGGTCGAGATGGTGTTTTCATTGAGCTCCAGCTCTTCCAGCTGCGGGAAGGTGGAGAACTCATCTGGATTGATGGTTTTGATTCGATTCTTGCTGAGGTCCAAGAGTCGTGTTTCCGATGGGATTCCCTCTGGAATGGACATCAGCTTCTTGCGGTGACACAAGACCGAACGCTCCTGAGCACTGCACTCGCAACGCGATGGGCAGCCCGTGGCAGAGCCAGACAGCACTGTGCCCAGCATTAAGATTAGAATGGGCTGCCAGCATGCCACCAGGAAGCTGTGCCCACTCACTTCCCCTGCTACCATCCTACCGGTTACCTGCACAGACAGAGAAAAAGAGCGTTGAATTATAAAATATGAAATTCAAGGCATCCAAATCAATAAACAATTATACCACACAGTATTGACCAAACTTCTAGTGGGTTATTTTCTTTGGCGAGCAGGATATGGCTCTAAAACATGAGTGAATTGTGTATTTATTGAATACCATTCATTCAAAGAGTGGAGAGGGTAAAAGAGTGTTTTACTGAGAGTTTGATTACTATAGCACAAATAAATTTCATTTCCAAAGTGTCAACTGTGTGTTTCATTACATTATAGGCTCATAAAACTATGAGCTAAGGACTGTTGGATTATTCAGAACTGTGAAAAGGAAGAGCCAATGGCGTGTACTTGCATAACCGTGCGAATCGGCACTTTTGGATTCAATCTTCTTTGTTTTGACCCCAACTAGTTCAACTTCAAAGGCTTTTAACACTCAGTAGCACTCGTGCTAACTGAGCTCAGGGACTTGACTTGGAATCCATTGCAAAGGTTACATCACCATCATAAGATATTTATGAATCATGTAAACCTCTGGCATACCTAACACAACTGAGCAGTGAGTTAGAAGGCTGTTTCTGTGTCCCAACCAGCCTTTTCACTCTCAAATACTAAGAGTGTTCACACTTCCATGTCTAGGATCCATATGAAACGATGACATGGAGGCATGTGTGTGAATTTATCCACAAATCCATTTCACAGGAAATCAGCAGGTGCACACATAAAATCGCTAGCATATGCCATCTGCGAGAGAGACCAAAATACAAGAAATTAGTTTAAGACCGATCTGAAACACTCTCGCTCTCTGATCAATTACTAAAAGACATGCTGACCATTGAAATCTGTACACAGAGATTCTAATGCTTCCTGCATCAGCAAAAAAAAAAAAACTGTTCATGCATAACTGTCCTTATTGTGAGGTTTAGCTTCTTAGCTTTGGTTTGGAAGTCTTCCATGCACTTACACCATGATAAGAGTCTTTCAAATAACAGAAACACAGCTACACTGAAAAAAATTTGGAGTAGGAGTTACTTGAAAAAAGCTTGGAAACAATTTTCACTCAGAAAAGGCTAGTTAATTTACAAAAATTTGACAAGTAAAAGCCTAAACATAATTATTAGTAGCTTTAAATAGACATTTTTAAGTTAAGTTTACTTGGGAATTCCCAGTAAATTTTATTGACTCTTTGTTTGTAAATTTTACTTAAGTAATGCTTATCACTGTAAAAAGTGTGCTGTTAAATAACAGTAATTTACTGCACTGAAAAAAACAATACGATTAACTTAAATTTTCTTTCTTTTGCAAGTTTTCACACACAAATATTTTAAGTGAAATTTAAGTATTGAATAAAGTAAAATTAAATCTGTAAATAAGCAAGTATGCTTGTTATCCTTTTAAGATAATGTGCCCACTCAATGTAATTATTACCTAAATGAACACAGACACCTCAATACTTGGTACACCATACATGGAAACAATCAGTGAATAGTGTTTGAGTATGAATGGGTCATTTTAAGTAAAAAATTAACTCCAGATGTCACAAAACAGTAAGTTACTAAACCTAACAACAAAAGCAATCATAAAACAGTGTAAATACAACTCGAAAACAGTGAAAAATGTAACCCTTTTAATTATTCATTCCCCAGTGCATGATGGGAAATATGGGATCATAACTTTGATATTTACTTAAAGAATCCTATAACATAACAAACAATTCCAAGTAAAATATACTTGGAAACTTCAAACTTTAATTTCTACAACCTTAAATTGAGTACTAATATAGAATTTTCTGTAATTTTTTTAATTCTTGCCTGAACTAAATTATTTAATGTAGAAATCACATTTGTTTTTATGTAGTATTTACTTCACCACAAAATAATTTTTATCAGTGTACAAGAAAAAAAAAAAAAAAATTACCATATAATCTTGATCTTTAAATGGAAACTGTTCCAAAACCTAGTTAGCCACCTTGCCAACATAGACATCATCTGAATAGAACCTCATAACGGACTTGTTCTGAATGCTCTACATGGGCAGAAACTCCACAAATTGAGCGCACTCGCAGAGGTGGACTTACCCATTAGGCAAAGGTAGATGACCGCCTTTTGGCTAGCAAAAGCCAAGGGCCCCCTAAAATGCTTTTCATATATGAGATGCGCATTAAGCGCAGACACGTGAATGGTTGCTGTTTACGGTGTTTATTACCATGACAAACGTCTGTGTGTCCGAGTTGAACGTGCTTCTTGTGTATCCTGCTTGTATCAAATGAAAATATCATGCATCTGAAGCTGTAATTACATATTGAGCAACAGTGCGTATTATATGTTTATTATTTTAAATGCCGCTTACTCATTTGAGAAGGACCCAATTAGAGGACGCATACACAGTTACTTTTTTGATTGATATAATCCTTAGGTGTGTAAATGTATAATTTTATTTAAAAAATTTTTTTTTTCAATTTCATTTAAATTTGTAGTTATAATAACTAGTTAAATAAAATAATAAATTTTTGATGGCATTTTAGCGTTTATGAGAGGAGCACTGCTTTGTTTACCGAGGAAACCGCTGTATTTCTGATGTTCCAAAAGCGCCTCCTACTGGTAGAGAATGAAAGTGCATTTTCAATAATCCCATCTGCAGTTTTTGTTCAGATCAATGCAAAAATCCACCCACATAACCCTGTTTTAAATTAATATAATGATTTATACTTCTGACTCATCCCTTTTCTTAAAAAATGGTTTAAAGGCTAAACTATGAAGTTTATCATTATATAATTTATTTTGTTTTTGTGAAAACCTATATCTCAACTGTAAATCAATTGCTATTTCGTGGTCTACAACATGAAAGAAAGCCATTTATAGCATGTACATGAAAAATGTAGAGACACTGGACACAACCATGGGGCAGCATTGTGCAGCAGCAATTATCACATAGCTCCTTGTAGTGCATTCTGGGATTGCCTTATTTGCCAATGATACATACAGTCTTACCTTAGAATTCAGCTAAAAGGCATCTAAGAAAGAGTTTTAATAATTCATAACAGTTTTTGCATAGCACATTTACAATGCCTTAAAATGCTGTCTAGGTAGGCATCTCACTTGGTTTTGGAACACAGCTTGCATCTCCAGTGAATCTCAGGTTTTACTTTTTTTTTTTTTTTTGGTTTGCTGTCACACTATTTATTCTCTGCCGACCTGTTGTACTGGAATACTTCTATTGAGAACATCAAGGCATGTTCATTTCCAGTTCATGTAGCACAACATCCCTGTCGCATGATCATAAAAAGGATGTACAACTTGCATTAGGAAGCCTGATGCCAGCAATGATTGCTTCTGCCCTGAAAGACTGGTAAATATTATGTCTTGTGATACTGATATCAGAGACTTTTCAGTTAAAAGAAATTGTAGAGCTTTGTGAGCCTTAAAATGGTTCTTTAGGGAATCCCAAATCTTGAAGCACAATGACCCTTAAACAGAGTCACTGGAGTGCAGAAGAACTCCACCCACCCACACAAACACAAAATACTTTGCATATATCACCAAGATGAGCCTGTTACAGGAAGCTAAAAACAGAAAAGATATTGTTAGCATATTCCCAAGTGCAAATGAAAACATTCTCTTATTAATTTGCATATCCAATCAACTCTCACAAAATAATTCACAACTGTGTGCAGGATATGGTAGGTGGATCTATTTTTTGAAAAAGTTTAAATGAAAATGTATGCAAAAATATCTGCATACATGCAGGTATAGTCAACAAGACAATGTAGAGGAAGTGATTCACAAACATTTGAGAAGAGGCCAATTTGGATTTTTGTTTGCAATTTGCTGATTTGTAATGAATAAACTGCAGTGATCTAACTGTGAGCTCCAGTTGTTCATCAGGATCAATAATGAAGCCACTGAAGGGTTGAGTTTGGCTGGAAGCATTCAGCATGTGGCCCAGAGGCCCCGTGTTAAACCGTTAACACTGCTGAGGGGAGGCTGGGTTCTGTTCAAAGCAAATTAAGCAGCCTACAGTGTGTGCTGCCAAAAACTGAGAACATATGGAAATGTTCTTCATATGAATCTAACATGAAAGAACTATCACTGCTGTCTGCTCATCAGGCTAGCAACAAGCTGAAACATTATTCAGCTAATGATCTATCTTTGGAAATCTGATCAAATAGCATTATGTATTATCTCACAGTGAAAAACAGAAAATAAATGTATGATTGGTAAGCCCTCCTACTGAAACCCCCCTTTTTGGGGTCTGTGACCTTTAATCCCCTGTAAAATAATAGAACGGTAGCATGTAAAATACACAAAGTAATGCAATGACGTAGTTTGTACAGTAATCTGGTGAATTAATTTATAAAGTAATGCGGTGAGTTTGTGTGTAAAGTAATGCAGCAAACTGATATGTATAGTAAAAGTGAGGCAGAATGTAAAATATGCAGTAAAGTGGTGTGGAATCTAAAGTAATGCACTGAAATAATGTGTACTGTAATGCAGTGAGGTAGTATGTAAAGTAAAGCACAGCAAACTAGAATGTAAAAGAGAGGTAGCATGCAAAATATTGCCGTAAGTTAGCATGTAACAGAAAATAATGCAGTGAAGAAGAATGTGTTTTCATGCAGTGAGGTGTGTAAAGTCATGCAGCAAACAATCAACATAAAGTAACAGGCAACAAGAACTGTAAAATAAATGACTGCAGTTTGGTAACGTATAATTTGCAGTATTAGTGTATTAAGTAACACTGTGATAGTGTGTAAAGTAACAGCAAAGTTGTATGTAAAAGATGTAGCACATAAAATAATGCAGGAAGGTAAGAGTGTAAAATAAAATAAATCAGTGCAAAAAAGAATGCAATGCAAGTAGCGTGTATTGAAGTGAGGCAGTAAAGTAACAGTGTGGTGATGTGCAAAGAAACAGCAGAGAAGTATGTAAAGTAAGTGAGGTAGCACTTGAAATAATGCAGAGTGGCAGTGGAAAATAATGTGATGGCAAAGGGTGTAA